AGTAATTTTCACTGTAAGGTATCTGTACTTTTACTCAAGTATGGTTTTTAGGTACTCTTTATACCTCTGGTGGTGCAACAGATCACAAAATTCACGGTTCGGATCATATATGGATTTTGAGTCATGGATCAGATCATTTTTCGGATCAGCAAAAAAAAAAAGAAAAAAACCTTACTTTAAGTATTTCTATACCATAGCAAAAACTACTAGCTTAACTAATAAAGTTAGTAATAAAACAAGAACAATTACACAAATTACAAGCATAGATGAAAACAACAAATCACAGTTACAAATATCAGAATTTTGGTGCAGAAATAATAATAATTAAGTTTAACACAATAGTGCTCACTGCACAATTTAAATACAGATTCATCTTTGTTAGAGCTGTGGTGTTTGATTAGCAGACAGAAACGGGTATTCATTGGCTGTTGTCGCTTTAAGACCAAATGCACGGCACTAATACTGACACGCATCAGGTTTCTTTCTCACCTGTTTACGTTCACTTAAGAAATAACCGACTGCGTTTAATAGAATACTTGCCAAAAACTGCTTGAATGTGTAAACTGGCAAGACAAAACATGTGCAAATGATAAACTTTCACTCTATGATGGTTAAACTTAACAGTTAATCCATGAATCACATGCATGCCGAACTGTGGGGCCTGGTCCGTACGGATCATGGATCATCTACGATCCGTTGCACCCCTAATAATAATAGTATAATATAAACACACACACATATATACACTCACAAAATTCTATAAATTAATAATAATTATTATTCTAATTATTTTTATTTAATAACATTTGTTTTCCCAGTATATCAGAATGCACATTTTCACTCAGATTTTTAAAGACTAGTCAGAAACTGTGAGAATAATCAAATATTTTTATTTTTTAATTGACAATCGCAGATTTATTGTCAATGTAATAGAAGGTAAATATTTTACAAATATTTATAATATTTTTATTTTTCACAGTATAAATGGCTCTTGATACAAGAAAATATATGGCCTTTATAATTTAGGAAAGAGTTCCCTCGCAAAAGGACCATTTGTTGCCTTAAAAAAACCTTGGTTTAGCCATATAAATTTCAACACCAGGCCATGTAATTTTAAGCAACAGTCCTGGTCTTGTCTATTACCGATAATTCCCTTGTGTTCATTTATTAAATATTTGGGCTAATTTAAATACACTATTAGCTTCCAATAGAAGTATTAGCCTACCTACACTCTCTGTTCCATTTAACACATTTACCAAAAAAATGCTTAAATCCAGTTTTAAATCCCCCAAAAGTCCACAGATTCTGTCTAGGCCTACTGATCACTCAAAAACATGTGAAGCTATGTGCATATGGAATTGCATTTGCATTATATAAGGTCTGCATTGCCTTGAGTGACTGCTGCCCTCCAGAGCCAGTCTCACAATGGGAGGAGGTCGCTAAGTGGAGGTACAAACTACTACTGGCAACGTGTGATAAGACACACCTGAGGCTAATAGCACCTCTGGCATGCACATACAAGGAACAACATAACCAGACCGCCACCAAGATAATATATCACCAGCCCCCACACCTCTGAAACTACCACCTCATGAACACAAATAGTAATTTTAGTTCTAACAAAAACCTCTCAGCTTTGCATCATTGCCACCACACTATATATGTTTCTGTGTGTGTTTGTGCTTATCAGACTTGTCGGCATTCCCAGCAGGAAGATTCATAGGACCAAAAAGAGTGTATCACAGCAGGTCTGTTGCAGATTAATGTGGAAAGCAGACTAACAGCTCAAAGATAATGCAGGCCAATAAAAAAGACACACACACATGCACGCAGGAGTGAAGCAGAGGCTAACGGCAGAACAGCTCGGGGTCGTTAAGCATCATTAGCAGGACATTTGTTCACACACATTTGTTAGGAAGCGTCCTGCTAAGCAGGGAGTGTGTTCTCCTCAAGGAGTGTGTACTGGACAGAGGCAAGCAGGCAGGAAATTAAGTTACTGCCGTGTGTGTGTGTGTAATCTACTGCATGATGGAGCAGATCTGTCCCTCGTAAGAGACGTCACCGTGTTTGATTAACAACAAGAATCATTGTGTGTGTGTGTGTGTGTGTGTGTGTGTGTGTGTGTGTAATCTACTGCATGATGGAGCAGATCTGTCCCTCGTAAGAGACGTCACCGTGTTTGATTAACAACAAGAATCATCCCAGCCGGAAAACAACAGAAGCGTGTAAACTGCATCTGTGATTCGCATGCATTTACAGTTCCCGCATATTCAGTAGTTTGAAGTACAGCAGCACACAAACACTCACTCACACAAGTGAAAATGCTGCAGGCTAATCAGGAGGTAAATCAAGTTTACCTGAAGCCCAAGTGACCACAAAAGTCTTAGAAACCCATAGAAAGTGAAAAAACACAGCAAGATGTCAGTGCTACATATTGATCGAAGGGGTTAAACTTCCAGACTCTTAATGATTTAAACAGAGTGGAATAACATTGGGGAAACGCACACAGAAATTGTTAATTTACAACTACTCCAGGGTCAAGGAGTTCTGCCTAGAACAAAATTACCACAAATTTTATTTTTAAAGGAACAGTCTACCCAAAAATTGCAAGGTTTATGTAGCTCTGAATGCCAAGATCAGGGGTTTGATTCCTAGGGAACATAAGCTGACAAAATGTATAATTTACTGTAAGCCGCTTTGAACAAAAGCATCTAAATATTTCCATAAAAATCATACTGGATAATTATTTATTATAAAGCTTAAAAAGAAAGAATTGAGAAACATTTACATTACATAGTACATTATATGTATGTATTTATATATAATATAACATAACATAACATAATATATAAATATTATACTTATATATAATATAAAAGAAAAAAACCTTACTGCAGTATATAAAATATAAAAATAGTATGTAAAAATATTTAACAGCACTGGAATTACTTTACTTGTTGGCAGTGAAAAGAAAATATGCACACAAACAGGCCAAATTACACACAACTCTCATATGGCTAAATTCATGCAAAAATTATGGACAAATGTGACCTTCAAAATTCAGGATCTGAAAACCACAGAAAGGAGGACAACACACATACATAGACACACAACACCACAGTACCAACAGCTGCATCCTGGGGAACAAAAGACCACTATGCAGACACAATTTCCTTCTGGCCACAATGCCACAAGGCATGAAAACACCACACATACACATACACAAAGAGGCCCGTGACTTACTATGAGAGTGATCCAGTTCAGCACATCCAGAAAATACGTAACCACCATCTCCCCCCAGAGGAATCCAATGGAGAAAAGCGGATCATTTTTAGACCAACTTCAATTAACCGCAAGTCTCCAAACATCTCTCTCTCTCATACAATCAGACTACTTAACTACGCCACAGAACTAAAAGGTTTGTTTTTAAAACTGCAGACAAAAATAGCAACTGCTCATTTCCAAATTCACAAGATGCACAGTGTCTGGTAGTGCCTTACAACCAAAGAAAACCAATCTAACCAGTCCTGATCTTAACTTGTAAACCGGGTATTAAACACTTAAGAGACTTTACCTACAGCTAATTCACAGAGGAGATTAGCATGGAGCCTGGAGCTAATGAGAGAAGCTTTCTCTGCTCCTCCAGTGCTCCTTCTTTAGCTCAAACAAAACATTAGCAGATAATTATGGAATTAAGAAGACAAAAGATTAAAATTGGATATTGATCAGAGGAGTGAGGTGGCAGCATTTCGGCTGGTTAAGCCTGTGATGGGATGGTTGATCCACAATGCTTGTCCTCACGTCTGAAGATGTCTGGCAGGCCTATAGTCTGCCTGACAAAGGCGGTGAATGGAAGCGTGAACCGGTCCGACACCAGGACACAATGAATACAGAACGCTCACATCAGTCCTCAGGACCATGTTTAAAAGGATGAAAGACATCAGATGACAAAGAGACACAAATATAACTACACAATCAATGGAAATTCAGGCACCAGATGATGTAGATTCTTGTATTGGCATGTAGAAAGTCGGCATAAATGTTCAGTAATGATGTAGAATGTTCAATAAGAGTGACTCAGAGCAGTGCCGATGCCTGCTAATCTGAGACCAGCTTTCAAGATCACAGCTGAAGGCTTGCACTGATCTCCAGCAAGACAAGGGCTGCAGGGATCAATGCAAAATAAATGTTAATTGTCAGTGTTTTTGTGGCCGGATCAGAGATACAAAAAAAAAAGTTAAACATAAAACCAAGCAGCAGAAATAGCACTGAATGTAGTCTTAGAAAACATACTACTATAGAAGTAAAAATTGCTGTTTTATAAAAACAATAAGCCACTTTTCCAAGGCACTCCTCTGTGTTTTGTGCATAAAACCATCCCTTGGAGAACACCATTTGTGTATTGTGTGTACACAGTCTTGAGAGATTTGCTGATTAAAAATACTTCTGTCAGGACCACTGCCGTCAAAGATGATTGACAATTAGCATACAGTTTGGATTGGCAGTATGGTTCTGTTCTGTGCATGAACTCCCTGTGCATCCATGCAGCCTAGCATAGATGACAGCAGAGAGAGCAGTGATAACCCCCTTAGGGTAAACAGAACAGAACCAACATGAATGCATTGCAGGTATCATTAATGTTCAACAATTTAATGTAAACATTTTAGAAATTAGTCTGATTCAAAGGGGAATCAGAAGGCTGAATCCTGACTGGATGAGAGGAGGAGCTGGGGATGGAGGAGGGTAATTAGCTACTGAGCAACACGAAAGCTGCTGATAATACTGAAGGACCTTATATATTGGTGCTGTGATAGGTGTCACATCCCTATAGGTAGATGAGGATCAGCTGAGAGTCAGCTGACGATAGCTTGACTAACATGACCTGCCAGAACTAACGCTATGCTTGATATATACAGCATATATTTAACAAAAGTGATCTCAAAAGCTAAAAACCTTTTATAAAAACCAACAGCAGTTACAGATTTATATGAGTTGCTTACTGTTCATGTTCTTGAAGATGTTCAGGATGGGGAGGATCTGTCTGTAGTACGGGACTAGTGCCTCACCCACCATATCTGCTGATACAACCAGGTGCTGCAGAACCTTCAGCGTGGTGCAGATGACCTGCCTGCTCCTTGTGTTGAGAGCATCTGTAGACAAACACAGAGAGATGAAGAAAACAAGAAAGAAGGTCCAAAAACATTTTGAAGTCAGGAATATTTTGACAATGTGTGGGAATTTATTTTTTTTTGTTGCCATTTTACAACCCTTTTTTTTTTTTGCCATTTTACAACCCATGATTGGGATGTTATATTTGCACTCTCTTTTTCTCCGTCCAAAGTTGAAAAACACTTCCTTCACAGGCTCTGTATGCAGGGAAGAAAGCATCAATTCAATACTACAGAAAAAGCCTTCATCTGAAACCGGCATGGTATCCCATAATCCTGTGGTTCAATGGTTAGTGGAAAGAATGACAGACCAGTTGAAATTCGAAGTGTGCTACAGGGCCTGCACAAACCACCTGTAGAAACACACTCTCCTCTATGCGCACTAGACACTTTTCACACACACTGCTTTGTGTACATAATCCCACAAAAGACTCCGTAATAGGTGTGTTTACATGCTCATGCACTACAAATCATCTGCACTGTTCCCCAGCCAGCTGCTTGACTTACGATGTTTCTCTTTGCACATGTACAGTATTATGTGAAGCATCCGTATAGTCTGTATTTTATTTTATATTT